CAGAGAACTCTACAAGTAAAACAAACTAAAGTCAAATATCAACTCCTGGCCTACCTAGTTCAACCCCCAGCTGGAAAACCTGTCAAAGGCTCTGCCTCACACCTATCTAGCAACTTCTTTTGCTGCAGACATTCAGACCACTGGGCAAAAGAGTACCCTAATCCCCAGCTTCCTACAAAGCTATGCCTAAACTACAGTCAGTGGGATACTGAAAAATGGATTTTTCTCTGTGGATTTCATCCCCTCCTGTGAGTCCCCTCCCCTCCCGGTGACCTGACACACCAGGAGAAGACCTTAGAGCCCCCCCCCCAGTTATCTTATAAAAGGGTGCCTTATTTCAGGTAAGAAGATAGCTGGAAAGCTTCTGTGAGAAATGAAATGGTTTGGATGCTAATCAGATATGGGTTTTATCTTGTTTAAATAATATAAATTTGAAAGAAACTAAAAAATTTCCAGACATTCCAAAATTTCTTATATTTATAGGGCTCCTCTTTATTAAGTACTACGTTTTTACATGAAATTAAGTGAAATAGTGAAAGCCTCCCCCTTACTATTTACATCCACAGCATTTTCTTCAATGAGCCTGTTTATGGCATACAAAAAGAACTGGCAATATGAGATACCAATTCATAAGCTTTACTGTGGTGTGTTGTCATATGTGCTTAGTCATATGTGTCAATAGTGATTGGTAATGAAATGAAATCTTTCAAACATTTCTTATTGGGTTTCTTTGTACTGTGGACTTTCTTGCCTTAAAAATCAACTGAGGCAATCAAAGGCTTTCCCACATAACTGACATTCATAATGTCCATCTCCAATGTGGACTACAAATTATCTTCAGACTTGCAAAATATGCACAATCTTCCCACACTATTTACAGTCATTAAGAGGGTTTTATACAGTGTCCTTTCATGCTTTTAAACATACCTACAAGAAATGAACTATCATCTTGTAGCTATACACACACACACACACACATATATAATTTCTTCTCAGTATGATTCATTTCTTGTCTTTGAAATTAGGCCAAGTCATAAAATACTTCCTTATATACTACATTCTTTCACAATTCATTACATTCAAGAGTTTTGACTCCAGTGTAACTCCTTCCTTTAATTAAAAACTACCTATACCTTTGAGGACTTCACACTTTACTAAATTTCATTTTTCCCCCAGAAGTAATTCCCATGTTTCTTACATTGATGAAGATTTTTTCTAGTGCAGCCTTGTACAAACTGTGATCCATCATTGTCCTCAATTTTAAACCATTACTATGAGAAATGAGAAAAACAAGTTACTTATGTACCATAACCATATTTTCTAACTTATATTGGAATAAAGACAGTTCATTTTATCTAAAATAATATGGGAAAAATGTTATATATTGAAAATACTTTCTGTAATGTCACTCCTTTCATGTATTAGAAATGAACTGAGAGAGTCAAAGTTTTACCTAAGAAAATTTATATTCATAAGGTCTCTCTACATTTCACACTGGAACTTGCCTTATATACTTTCAATCAAAATAAACATTTCCTCACATTGACAGGGTTTTTTCCTCTACTGTGATCTGATCACTTTCTAGTAATTAAAAAGAACCAGAATTAGTAAAGTTTATTCCACTCTATTTACATCTTTAGGCTTTCTCTCTAATGAGAGAGAAAAGTGAGAGTGGCATCTTAAATATTGACAATATCTGAAGGCTTTCCTATGTTACTTACATTATCAAATTCCTCTCAAGTCAGAATAATTTCATGGATTTAAACTAGAGACCTGAAATATTCCCCACATTCCATACATTAATAAATCTCATCACTAGGAAGTTTTCAGATGAAAGCTTCCCCAAACTGCGTACATTGAAGGGTTTCTATAGCCTGAGCTCTTTTGTTTACTTGACAAGAAAATCAATATAGAAAAGATTTCTTATATTCTTTTTTTGTAATTTATTTATTTTATTTTTATATTA